ATTACATATCTTATTATTTATAGAAACAATAAATTAGATTTTGTTTACGAACGATCAACAGGAAGAGATGCTTCACTTAAAGCTCGTTGCTATTTGAAACATAGACTTGGTGAAAGTAGATTTTTTAGCAATGAAAACATTCTGAATCTTTTCGTTAAAGGCTTTTATTTATGATCACTATAAGGAATACTATATTTTCAGCCTGCTTATATTACATATTTATTACTAATTTTTGATTTGCTAAAAAATATGATGTGTACGTCACATGATTTCCTCGTGCGGAATATTAAATTATACGCGTTTTTTGTTGCATTTCATTTTAACTTATTTCCCCGAATTTCATTAGAGATATATTTCTCATTCAATTAACTCAGTTCTCCCTTAGCGGCAAAGCAAAATTACATAAAACCTCAAAATATCTTTATTAAAAATCGAAAAATATAGAAAAACATAAAACACTAAGTACAGTTAAAACAATTAAAAAGACAATTTTCACAGTTAAAATTAGAGTTTCTACGTAAATCGCATGCAGATTAAATAAAGGCATAAAAACCTTAACCGAAAGACAAGAAGAACATAATTCAAGAATTTTTAAAGCAAAAAATGTACAATTGACCAACATATAAGAATAAAAAAACTGAGCTCACGAAACAGAGTAATAGAGTGGGTATGTATATTTATATTTATACGATCGATTGCAACCAAAAAGAGAAGTGCACAACTACATGTTATAGCAGTCCTATATACAAAAGTTAACGTTTCTGAGTTACATGACATACATTTATACATACGTACGTACACACGTCGTAAAACATTTCTTCTGAAACCACTTTAAATCCTTTTTGCAACCCGTTTTGGAAAAAAGAGTCCTTTATTTTATCCTTACGTACAGATGTCACGCAAAAACAACGTTAAATTGCATTCAGTAGTAGTCAGAATTGGATATATTTGTTGAAATATGATACCCGAAAATTTTCGCGATTACAATACTTTCTTTACTTCGTACAAGGAAGTAAAAAGGAGCGAAACATGTAGTACATAAAGATTTTAAGAAAACGTAGCTAGCCCGTTTTTCTCTTCCATTTACTTTTCTCATATCCTTCCTAATGATGGCAACTGCTTAACCAATTCTTAAAGATGATCATATTTCAAATATATGTATATATATATCCAAATATATCCAAATATATATATTCTGAAGGTCCCCCCCCTCCCGGGTGTCGACCATGGAGGTAAGAAAGGACCATGGAGGTAATTCCATTCAGAATGAAATGTTGTTTGAAAATATGTTGTTTTCATATACTTAGGACTCTGAAGTTTGTAGAAAAAGAAAATGTATACATTTATATATATATTTACGACGCAATTACAAAATATTTACATCCAATCGCGTCAAAACCCATTGAACTGAATGGTAAATGACCCAATGTTTTGGTCACCACGTAGGGATCGCCGGTGCTTCAGAGCAGGGTACGGGAGAAACCTGTTTAGGGCTACTCCATCTTACTTCCTACCTCCATGGTGTCGACTGACGAGCAACTCCCGACAGTACCTAGCCAGCCTCGACTTCTGTGGAAAGCAATCAGTCTTCATAGTGAATACAGCCATTGTTTATTCGATGGTAGGTTATGGCTTGGAAGGGACTGTACTGGTACTGTCTCGTCTGGCCCTTGGTTGTGGGGACATTACATGGTTTGATATCGAAGATTGTCTTTGGGGGTTTGGCTCCCCCTGGTTAACACTTGGGGAACAGACTGGCTTGCCGGTAACCATTTACTTGTCTTACATATTCCCAAACTGTGTGAGTGTAAAATTGTTCCCCCTGGGTTGATCTGGGGGGGGTTAAGCCTCCTTGGATCACCTCTGGGGATTGGGCATTCTAACCGTGTGAGGGCATCATAAACCTAGATCTGGGAGCTTCCCCTAATATTCCGAACTGTACCGTTTTGAAGAAGACAGATACCAGATTTTAGTAATTTCTTTCAAAATGCAAGAAAAAATATAGCAGTAACAGTTAATTTACATCCTTGTCCAGAAAAAATAAATAATTAAAAAAAAAAAAAAAAAAAAAAAAAAAAAAAATTAGGCTTATTAAGAGTCAGTCATCAGATGTAATCGTAGATGTTAGGAGAGTGTGCTATTATGCTACGCTTATCCGTAACTGAAACTAAATCACGCTGTTTGTTGACTGTTTTAAGGTCAAAGGGATAATACGTAAGTATTAAAATAAATTCTAAACAGTAATTAGCAGTAAATTCTAGCGAAAAAAAAAAGCAGTACTTTTAACAACTGCAGTAATATATTATAATATGTAAAACATACTGATTTTAAAACAAATGAATTACTTTCAGACTAAAGCCATTCTAATAAAGGGGCTTTAATGGTATTTAAATCTTCCCAGAGCGACAATATTTAAATACTATTCAAAGAAATATAGGCAAATTTTACTTACTCTAAGTTGAAGATACAGTTTAAACAAAAACGATATGCTTCACATTTCAGAAAAAAAAAAAAAAAAAAAAAAAAAAAAATACGAAATTATAAAACTTGTTTGAAAGAGGACTGAATTCAAAAAACTCTTTGAAAATCTCTAGCCACATGTCATTATAATATACATTATCTACAAAGAATAAAACTCTTCTGTTCTGTCTTTATCGGCGGGAAAATGATATGAATAACAGATGTTGGTAAGAATGCTGTGTCTGATCATTTTGTTTCAAGGAAAAACCAAAAAATAGCACAGCTTTGTTTCAGTTGGAGCATTTAACATCTATGAAAGTTCTGTTAAATACAGAATGTAGAACTATTACGTGATTTCATATAAAACTCATACATTTAAAAAACAAATAAGCAGCATTTCATTGATATTAATCTATGGAAATTTTCTGGACGTTGCTGATCATGGTCCATATCAATATCAAAATTTTGTTTTGTTAATTGAAAGTATTTTTATTAAACTATTTCAAGCACCACCACTTTCCTTTCCCACTGTTACTATTACATTTTGGTTAATATTAAACTAAAATTTTCTTTAAATAACATATTTTTGGAAGAAAATTAATTTCGTTTAAATAAATTTTGAACTCGCGAATATTTAATCATCATGAAAACGTAAATATGAAATGATTTATTCTTCCTCTTCGGTAATTACATTAAAACAAATAAAAAAAAGAGTGCATTTTTTCAAATAAATGGAATCTGGTGTGACTCTTGACATGAATATGTCTTGTTTAGATGCAAGAAAAGAAACGCAGCCTTGAAAATGTCTCTAATGTCAAAAATTATCTTAAATGTTTTAAAAGGAAATGTTAAATAGGCTTTGACTGACCGAAGTGTTTTCTAAATACAATACTTCTTAGGAAGACCCATTCCACAAATTCTTATTTAAATTAGATTTGTAGAAAGTATTACTAAAATGAAATGTTTCCAAAATACATCACTTTAACGTCAATGTGCCATGAAATCTCAACAGAATAAAACATTTTCTTTTGGAAACTGATCCCAGCACAAAAGAGTTAATTTATTTTTATAATCAATTTTTTAAGAAAAAAACTGAAACTATAAAAAGCTCTTTTGGGCAATTTATAATTATTTTAAACATAAGTTTTAATCAGACACCCATTTGTTCGATTCTTTTCGAATAAAATTCTTTCTTTATTAGTTTATATTTACTTTCATTTAAATTTAATACCATAGCATCTGAGGCACGTCCGTTAATAACACAGTAAAAATTTTAATACTTTATAGGAAATAAAGATAAAAATGCCCGTTTAATACAAAGAAATTAATGGATGTATGAAATTATAATACAATAAATATTACACTCTGCAATTGATTCTTGTCAACTTTTGCATTCCTTGCATACTTTTACAGAATGTAAAATTTGAAAGATGATACTATTTAAGTTGAATATATCTATCTAATGTTTTATTACACTAATGTTTTGTTTGTGTTATGTGTTTTTGTTTGTGTGCAAATGTGTTTGCTTCTGTGTATTCAATCCACTGTATATAAAAGTATTTCTGTCTAGGTATACGAACGCAAAATGTATTAGATTGCTGTTCTTCCTATGCCTTTAAAATAAAAGTAATAAAATAAAGCTAAAAGTAATTACCTACAAATTAATTCCTGTACTTTACTTTGATTTCTTCCATCAATTTTCGCTGCCAGTTTATTAGCACTTCTTATAGAAATGTTATAATTTTCATTAAACACCTTTTTCATATTAAATAGTTTTATATCATTCTTACTTGAGTAAAAGATGAAACACCTTCGCATTTATTAATTATTGTTCATTGAACGGGAGTTGGTTTGTTCCCATTGAAAAGTCAACGAATTTCCAGATCAATAGACGATAAATTACTTGGATTATTAATTTACTTTTTTTTTTTCAAAGTTTGAAATTTTGTTATTCATGATTTAAATTCAAGTCCCCATAAAAAAAATTTTCATGATTTACACACAATTTTCGAAATTAAACTTCCTACATATAGGTTCTATCTTTTTGATACATTCTACTAAATTTATATTAGGAGATAATATAATCAGTATTTCTTTAGTAAATCAATTATTATTATCTTTGCAGCCATCACGCAAGTATTAAAAAAACTTGTTTTCGAATTCAATGAATTTTAGATCATTTAATATCTATCTATCTATCTATATATATATATAGAGAGAGAGAGAGAGAGAGATGCATATATACATAAATTCCGCTGAACTAGTTTGCTTGCTTAATAATAACAAACCAAAATGAAAAAAAAAAAAAAAAAAATATTACGAGCACGAAACGGCACACTGATAAAGAACTGATGCATAACTATAAAAATAGTTACTCAAACAGTTTGAAACACGCATATTGTGCAAATGATTGAAACTGCAAACACACGTTTGTGTATAGAAAATATGATATGCATATTTCATTTAAAATTTTTTATATAAGACCTGAAATGACTGCGAACTATATTTCAAAATATGCGACGGAAGAAAAATTACCTTACCTGTGACTGCGTATCCAGAATTTGCTTTCCGAAGAAACCCGGAATTCCAGCGAAATCTTTCACGGAGTGGCAACACGAGGTGCCAGCTGACGTCAGAGTTTCAAAGACACAACAAATTCTTTGCTACCCAAATGCTGCAATATTCCATATCAGTCGCATATTATTTGCAATTAGCGTAAATGGCAGAATTAAATCCGAGCGAACTTATTCCACGCCTGAAAGGCGGCTTAACTAAAGTGTAATGACAGGATGCAGGATAATGCGTTGGAAGACCAATGAAGCAGCGAAGACGAATAGGACAGTTTCCGTTCTCTGTTTTTTTTTTCGTTCGATTTCCTCACAGATCTAGGGTTGCCAGATGCCTGTAATGGTATTCAACTTCCTGCAAGTGGTTTGATGGTTTGATGTACGATAGCGTTATCTCAATGTTACTAGCTGTTACGTAGAATTATTTTAAATTTGCCGGCTGCATAAACAAAAATACGCAGTGAAGACAATATCCTTCTTCATTATCGTTTGCTGTTAATAATAATCACAAACTTTTATCATCATTTCAATTGACCTGTAACTTGACGCATAACAAAATGAAAGAGAACAACGTTACCCTACAGAGAATCCTCAGGTATTATCTTTGAACTCATCATAACTCTTTTTTTTTTTTTTTTTTTTTTTTTTATCTTTTTACTTTAATGGCAATAAATAGCTGATTCGAAGATTCCGTTATTTTTATTGTAATCAGATGAAGAACATTGTTATTAAACATTGTAATGAAGAACATTGTTACTGAACATTATTATTTCAATTCAACGATTTAGTCAACGATATTTTCTCAAAAATTTTTAGCAGTTCTCTGTACTGAAATAAATTAATTCTAAAAATTATTCTTCATGGATCTTCAAAAGGTAATTCTATAAGGTTTTTCTCCTACCTTCCTAGCGTGCCTTCGTGGTGAGGTGGTCAGCAAACTGAGCCGGTATTTCAGAGGTCGGTGGTTCAATTCCCGGCGAAGGCGATTGCTCATTTTTCATCTTGCCTGCTTCCAAAATCCTAATGTCTCTACAAGTGGCGCCCGAACTAAAAGGGTGATGGATTATGATTCTCCACGACCAGGATTTAGCGATTGGGTCCCTAAAAACCCCAGTCGCCCTTTTATAGGGGGAGTATAGAAGGTATTTCTCCCACTTTCCTAGTGTGCCTTCGTGGTGTAGTAATTTGCACAATCGTTCGAAATTCCAGAGGTCCGTGGTTCGATTCCTGGCGAAGGCATTGCTAAATTTTCCTTTTGACTGCTTCCAAAAATATCTAATGTCTCTACAATTCTTCATGTATAAATGAGGGAATAGAACAATAGTCCTTGCAGTAATTATTATTTACCATAATTGCGTTTTCTCAGCTAAATAAGCAAGCATAAGCTTTTTTAACTGAAATTGTTTCTTTAATTAAGAATTTTAAATATTATGCATTACTATTTAACGCCACACATAAATTGACATAAATACGTAAATAAGCAATGGTAAAGTTTATTCTTTTTATCTAAATAGGTAATTATTTTCAATTATATAACTTATAAGGTATGGCGATGCCCATATATGGTCATAGGGCAAACTTTGTTTTGCAAGGTCGACCGGGCTTCGTCCTAACAAAACAAAACTTATAAGGTATTTCTCCCACATTCTTAGCATGTCTGCTTAGTGTAGTGGTCTGCACGCTGGGCACGTATTCCAGAGGTCCGTGGTTCAATTCCCGGCGAGGGTGTTGCTCATTTTACATCACTCATGCTTTAAAAAATAACGTAATGTCTCTACAGTGGCGCCCGAACTAAAAGGGTGGTGGATGACGATTCTCCACACCCGAGGATTTGGCGATTGGGTCCCCTGAAACCCTAGTCCCCCTTTAAAAGGGGGAAATATATAAGGAATTTCTCCCGCCTTCTTAGCTTGCTGGTTTGCACGCTGGGCACGTATTCCAGAGGTCCGTGGTCCGATTCCCGTCGAGGGCGTTGCTCGTTTTTCATCATTTCTGCTTTAAAAAATAACATAATGTCTCTACAAACTTTAATACCTGTATAATTTTAAGATGAGAATCTTCAGAAGAACTTTTCAATTTACAAAATTACAGATGTAATTATTTCTGATTATACGACTTGCAAATATAATTAAATTGTATAGACAAATTCATATAGTGGCACATTTGTTTTCGGATGCTTGCGTTTTTCAAATTCTTTTTTCAAATATCAGGAAATAAATATTAACATAAAGACTATCTTTTACATATGGTATTGATCATTTCTTTCCCTCACATATGCTATTGATCATTTCTTTTTTTCACATATACTTTTGATCTTTTTCATATACTATTAATCTTTCACGTATACTATTGATCAACGTTTTTTCGTCTGCTTGTTTTAAAAGAAGTTATTCGAAACGTCTTTGTTGGGGAAAAAAGAGGGAGGGGCTTATTCAAAAAATTTTGAAGACGAACTAACTGAAGTGTTTGGACACCTGTACAAACAATTGATATTTAAAAAAAATCTGATATGTACACCACATGACTTCCTTATACGGAATATTTAATTATGCGCATATTTTTCTTCATTTCGTTTAAAATTATTTCTTCGAATTTCATTAGAGATATATTTCTTATTCAATGAATTTAGTTCGCGACAACGCAAAAATGCAAAAATCCTCAAAATATCTCCTTTAAAAGTAAAAAAACATAAAAACACATAAAACATCAAATACAATTAAAACAACTTTTACAATTAAAATTATAATTTCTACGCAAAAATAAACAATTCGGCCAGCGGGCAAGAAGGCAAACCTTTCGGTGCATAAAACTGAAAGTTTACCTTTGGTCGTACTAGACAAAAAGACACTGACGGTGCAAAAACTGACTTTATTCACTATTCTGCTAAGTTTCAAATGTAAAACAAATATGGCTGATACGGTAAAAAAATTAGGCTTAGCCGCACTTAAACAACTTCTTGTTAATTTTACAGCTATTGCATGCAGATTAACTAAAGGCATAAAAACCTTAACCGGAAGATAAGAACAATATAATTCCATCATTTTAAAGCAAAAAATGCACAATTTACCAATATATAAGAACAAAAAACTGAGCTCACAGAGCTGAGTAAACGAGTGGGTATCTATCTATCTATATATTTATATACTTTAGGTGCGGCCGATTGCAACCAAAAAGGGAGGTGCACAACTGCATGTTTTAGCAGTCCTATATACAAAATTTCAAGGTTGTGAGATTACTTGTTTTTGAGTTATGCTAGGTACATATATACATACAAACGTACGTACGTACGTACATTTGTATCTCGCATACGTACAGACGTCAAAGGAAAAAAACTATTCTAAAGCCATTTTAAATCTTTTTTGCAACACGTTTTGGGAAAAAGAGTCCTTTGTTCTGTCCTTACGTACAGGTGTCACGCAAAAAAAAAAAAATCGTTAAATTGCATTTGATGGCTGTGAAAATGGATATTTTGTTGAAATGTGATACCCACAAATTTTCGGGGTACAATACTTCCTTTATTTTTTACAAGGAGGTAAAAAAGTACATGAAAACAACGCAACACTTAATATTTCTTTGTCTATTCTTTAGCTAAAATATACTTCGCATGAGTTTTGACATAAGATTCAACTAATATTTTTGTGTAAAAGTTTTCCGTTTTGTTCCAGTCCTCCGTAAGAATTTCATTTAGTAGAATTTCATTAGAAGCATTTTCATTCATTTGCAGAGAAATAATATCATGTTTCTTTATTCTTTTCTTTAAGTCACTTCATTGATTTTCGATAGGCTTTAAAGCCGGAGAGTACGGAGTTTTGATAATTTTAAGGCAGTTGAAGGCAAATATTTCGGCGCACAAAACTTAAAGTTTAATTTCCCACTTTGCAAAAAGATATTGAAGGTGCAAAAACTATTCTACTGAATTTCATATATAAACACATGGCGGCTCGTTGGGCTTAACTCGCCACTTAAACTTTTAAATTGCTGTTAATTCTACAGCTATTGCATGCAGATTAACTAAAGGCGTAAATACCTTAATCGGAACGTAAAAACCACAGAATTCAATCTCTTTTTAAAAAAAACATGCATAGTTTACCAATATATAAGAATAATAAAACTAAGCTCACCTAGCCAGGTAACAGAGGGGGAATATAGATATATATATTTATATATGATTGGTGCAGCCGATTACAAGGTGCACGACCACGTGTTATAGCAGTCCCATCTACAATATTTCAACGTTCTAAGATTACTCGTTTTTGAGTTATGCGAGATACTTATATGCGTGTACGTATGTGCCGCGCAAGAAAAAAAAAATCTGTTTTGAATCCATTTTAAATCCAATTTACGATCCTTTTTTCTGTCCATAGGTACAGATGTCACGCAAAAACTTCGTTCAAATAGTTTCAAGAGATGTTGAAATGTGATACCCGAAATTTTTCGTGATTTCAATACTTCCTTTATAGGCTATACAAGGAAGTCATGTGTTGTCCGCATCATATTTTTTAATTCAGCGATCGCAAAATATTTACAATGGTTAAAATCTATTTTTTTTTTCCATTGCAGGTCGCCCACCAGCGGCCGAGCGGTAAAGTCGCTGAACACTGGTAGTTCGGTCCGAGGTTCGAATCCTGCGAACGGGCTGGCTGCATGGGTGTTTTCGTGGTTTTCCCCATGTGTAACGTGTATACGAGCCAGTTTCCCTTAGAAAGTCCTCCACGAAGGCATCCCTCCCCATAGGCAGATAGCCCTCGAGGCTTTGCCATAATTAAATAACCTAACGTAACCTAACCCATTGCAGATCTATGAATTAGCGTTTTGACTTCTGAGGCTAATCCCTGGCAGAGGATGCTTGCATATTTTTAGAACGATTTCAGAAAATAATTTTAAAAAGCAAATACTTTGGAATGCAAATTTATGGCAACAGCTAATTATTTGGAATGAGAAATATCATATGCTACATTCAATTTCTTCTTCTTTCAAAATGTCGCTTGTAAACTAGCTGTGGATTGAAGGATATGATTCTGCGGTTTCCGAAGAGAAATATTCCTATTCCATAGCTCAAAAACTCTGTAAAATGCATATGCGTCGGTTAAATTTTCTAAAAGCAAAATAAACAGCATTGCTAAATCGGAAAGAGGAAAAACCTTCAATCATCATTTTTACGTGAAAAGACGACTCTAGACGAATAGTTGGATAAGGTACATCTTGAAAAAAATCTGATGTGTACACCACATGACTTCCTTGTACGGAATATTAAATTATACGCATTTTTTCCTGCATTTCATTTAAACTTATTAGATTGAATTAAATCTACTTCGCCGATAGCGCATAAACCACAATAGAATAAATGCATTCTTTAAAATTCACTCTAGTATTTGTTTACCATAGCGTCACTCTGGCGCTAGATTCACTTAACAGTATTATATTTCATTCATATTATAACTCATAATGCACAAAATTTATATCATTTAAAGAATAGAATTATCTAATCGTTGCCACATGTTCCATTCAAATACTATAATAAAACTAGAACGATGTATAAAAGAAATTAAGCAAACAAAACAAAAAAGAAACATTTTTTCACAGACTATTCAGTATCTCT